ATCTTCAGTTCCAGGGTCAGTTTGTTTCCCATGTCTTGAGGCCAGTTCTCAAAATTGTGGCTGCTTATGTCATGGCTATAGTCTGGTCATCACATAGTTAACTCCTTCTCCCTGGTGGGGGTGTCAGTATCTGTAAGACAGTGGACAGGATATGGCTCAGAATATTATCTCTAGCCCTTGAGAAGGAACTCAGGTCCTTGACTATGTTTAATGACTAAACTACTATTATTTAGTCTTCTTGGACTGTTTTACTTTGTTTCTACATTTTCTTACTTCTATGATTAAAGTTATTCTTTGGCTAAAGTTTTCCCACAGACTGAAGGCAGGTGGAGGCCATTGTGGGCAAGGACCATTTCATTGCTCCATTTCAATAAGAAGGCGAGTTAAGGTTACAACCTTCATATAAATCACGCGTTCATTACCAAAAAGGATCTCTAGGCTTGAATTACCAACTAAGCACAACATTGAAGCTTAAGTTACAACATTTCCACTAGTGGTTTTTTTTTTTAATAGCAATAATAATAATGTCAAGGGATCATTTACTGAATATCCAATCTCTGTTAGGTGCATTATAGATGCCTTATAGTTACTGTCATTTGTATAAGTTGTTATCCTTTCCATGGTGTTTCCAAGTTTCTCTCTAATTCTCCTAGGAACTCTGAAAATTTTCTACATAACATACACTATCATTTTCAAACTAGTAGTACTAATTTTAAAACAAGTTTAAATAGTCCCTCTGAGAATGTCACATGTTGCGCTTGGAATTGCTAAATTTATTTAGTAAAAAGAAAGCCAGGGTAGTCTGCTCACTGTCCTGTGTTGCTTCTTTATTTCAAATCTTAAAATCTTTGAAGAAGCCGGGGTTAAAGGCTCACCAAACACCCCAAAATGAGCTGTTTCAAGATTTACCTTTTGTTCATAACATGATGCTTAGAATCACTGATATTCTTACCTTTTCCTTGGCCTGTAGGATGCTAATGGACACATGTGCAGCTTGCTTATAGCCACTGGATGCCAAGGCAGTGGTGGTTTGGACTCATGCACTTGCCCGACCTTGGATTTCTTATTATCATCCTTATTTTTCTCTGTACCATGATTTCTTCAAGTCAGCATTTTCCAAACAGATGATCCATGGACCACTGGCACTCTGCAGAGTATTGATTTTGTATTAAAAAAAATGCTTTGCCAGGGATGTAAAATGCTGGGTTAACCAAGTCAGCAGGCTTCTCTGCAGTAGGGCCCCTCAGAACTGTACATAATGACCCTTTTCTGCATGAAGGGGGTTAAGACGTTCTTCACCATGGAATCCTATTTGCCAGTGGATTTTTCCCAAGTCACCAGCATCACCATCTGTAATTGTTCTATAGGATGCAATTTGGGGTATCTTCCTTGACACATTAAATATATTTCCAATTCCTTTTTTATTTTTTAATATATTTACTTATTTATTTGGCTGTTGCATTGGGGCTCTTCATTGCTGCTTGCAGTCTTTCTCTAGTTGCAGCGAGTAGGGCCACTCTCTAGTTATGGTACGCAGGCTTCTCGTTGTGGTGGCTTCTCTTGTTGCAGTCCACAGGCGCTATAGTTCAGACTCGGTAATTGTGGTACACAGGCTTAAATGCCCCGTGGCATGTGGAATCTTTCTGACCAGGGATGGAACCTGTGTCCCCTGCATTGGAAGGCAGATTCGCAATGACTGGACCACCAGGGAAATCCCCATTCCTCTTTTGGAAAGAGATGAAATATAAGTAAAGAGATCAAAAATGTAAAGCCAGGTAATTTACAGAAGGTTTGGTGTGCTAACATTGGTTTTCAGACCTCTTTTTAGCTATGTAACTTCTCTCCTGGGTCACCCGGAAGGAGTTCTTTGATTTCTTCTTGATCTCTTTGTCTGCTTAGGGAGCCATATTATCAGACTCTCTTGATTTTGCATGGATGTTGTGAAAAGAGACAGGACTGGCTCACTTAGATGTGCTTTTTAGCTTTTGGTATCCGAGGTGTTACATAAGTCCCAGGCCTTGTTTATACTATGATTATAATAAGCAGTATAACTTTTCTGCTGGGTAACCCTGAGATCACATTGTCAGAGAAAAAGAAATGGCTGAACAGAACCACTTCTACAAGTTAAACCCATTTTCCGACAGCTGGCTGGTGGGTGAGTTGCTGAGTTCTGAGATTTGAAGTGGCATTTACAGAAGACCTTATTTTGAGAAGGCACCACAGGCAAATTATAACAAGTGTTATTTAACAGCTCTAATTATGATTTTTTCCCCTCTCTCTCCCCACTTTGTATCTACAATTTGATCCAAATTAATATTTATTTATACTAATAATAGCCAACCCAGATGGATTGCTTACTATGTACCAAGCAGTATTCACAAGGGCTTTGCATGAACTAACCCATTTAATCTTCCTGAGAGCCTAGGAGGTAGGGGCTATTATTATCCTCATTTTAATGATGCTGAGACTGAGGTTAAGAGAGGGAAGAAACTGACCAAATTCTAACACAGACAGTCAGTTCCAAAGCTCAGACCTCTATCAGGCTCTCTTTCATCAGCTTGGCAATACATCACATAACTGTCCTCAGACATACATGACCTTGACTTTGTTTTTGTAATGTTTTTTATTGTGGCAAAAGTCATATAATATGAAACATACTCCTTTAACCATACATAACTGTACAGTTCACTAACTACAGTGCACTAACTATGTTCACATTGCCTTGCAACTTTCACCACCATCCATTTGCCGAATGTTTCACCTTCCTAAGCTGAAATTCTGTCCCCATTAAACACTAACTCCCCCTCCCCACCGCCCACCCCACCCCTGGCCCCTGACAGCTGTCAATGTACTTTCTGACTCTATGAATTTGACTACTCTGGGTATCTTGTTTAAGGGGAATTGAACAGTATTTGTACCTACTTTCTATCGGAATGCATTTTTACTTTACCTTGACTTTGTAACTAACACAGATCTTGATGTTCTACTCTTTGGGGGTAACATAAGACCCATGACCAAGCCTCAGAAAGCCCAGTGGCCCTTGAACTCTGTGAAACTCAATCAAACTTCCATTTCCCAAATATCAGTGGTGCGTGTAGGCATGAGCTGACATTAAAGAGCAGCTCAGACTTGGAGCAATGTTGCTTTAGTGTCTGGTGATCTCTACGAAGCATTGCTTTCTCCAAATTTCTGTGCGTGAGTTTCTTGTTTAGATGTCTCTGTTTGATCATTTTTCTAACTCAACACAGTATTTAGGGAGCTGTTATGATAAGCTGGTGCTGTGCTTGCTATGGGGGGTACAGTGCTGAATTGGGCTGATAAGGTCCCTGCTCTGTTAAGTTCCTTTCGAAGGAAGAAAGTGGCTCCACCAAGTGATGCCAACATAAGAACAGTTTAGTTTGTGGTGGTTTTGGGCGGTGGTGGGGGGGGGGGGTGTGAATTTGCAGGTACCATTGTTGTTGTTCTTTAATTGCTCAGTTGTGTCCAACTCTTGGCGACATCATGGACTGTAGCCCACCAGGGTCTTCTGTCCATGGGATTTCCGAGGCAAGAATACTGGAGTGAGTTGCCATTTCCTTCCCCAGGGGATCTTCCTGACCCAAGAATTGCCACTTCCATCTCCTGCATTGGCAAGCGGATTCTTTACCACTGAGCCACCATAGTTAGCCTTTAAGAGATGTGGATATCAAGAGGGGTTAGCAGTGTGAAGATTCAGGGTCACAATGCCCCCAAATAAAGACAACAGCAAGTTCTAACAACAAATTAGAAAACCCGGGTAGGTGGTGATGGAGGTAGAAGATGGCAGTGGTAGCTGGTTTCTGAGCTGCTAGATCGTTCTGGGCTGCAGTTGAGTCAGCCTATTTTGAATGATGCCCATGTTGAGGAGGGCTCACCTTGCATGTGGAAGGCCCTCACCTACTCCGTTGCACTCCCAGGGGTGGGACTGAGCAAGCTGAACTCTTTCTGAAGTCTCACTGTGGAGAGGAGGAGAGACCCAAGTTCATCACCTATCTTCATGGGCACATCAGATCCAAGCTATGAAGATGAACAAAGAGAACCTGGACCATTACCCAGTGGGGACCACAGCGCTAACTTGGACCACTGCTCTGCACCCACGAGCCAGAAGAGTGTATGGGACCTTGAGCCTACCTTCTTTTTTGTTGCTGTATCAGATATTTATTGGAAATGTTTAATTGTCTGATCGATAGCTCAGCTTCTTATATCCAGTGATGACCATTATATTTGATGATCATTACCTTGTGGGCTATGGTCCATAGGATCACAAAGAGTCACACCTGACTGAAGCAACTTATCACGCATGCAAGTAGATACATACTTGATGACCTTTATACTGATCTTCCCTTTGCTCAGAGCAGGAGATGGCCTAAATAAATAACTTAGTCATGAGCTGGAAAAAAAAGACAAGATCCAGGTATGCTTGGGACACAAGGTCAAGGTGGGGGACGGTGACAAGATGACATGAGAAAGGTTGGCAGGACTTTGGGGAAGACAGGGTCTTTTGGAACAAGATCTGGAATTTGAATTTTACTGTAACTACACAGTTGTAAAGTAGGGAGTTTATACATTAAAGCAGTGGTTCCCAACCTTGATGGCACCTGGGACTGATCTCGTGGAAGACAATTTTTCCATGGACCAAGGGTGGGAGGATGGTTTCAGGATGATTCAAGAGCATTATACTTATTGTGCACCTTATTTATATTATTATTATATCATCTCCATCTCAGATCATCAGGCATTAGATCCTGGAAGTTGGGGACCCCTGCTTTAAAGGTCCATCCTGGCCAGTGTGTGAAAACCGGGGGGATGCACAAAGTTAAGGGCACTGCTTGGAGCTCTGAACATCCTGTGATGATGGAAATGGGATGCAGTGAGACAGCACAGATGAAGAATCAGGTGGCACTGAAGTGGAAACATTGACGCTTAGTCCTTGGGGATGAATTTAAGGAGTGGGGATGGAGTTGAGAGCAAGAAATTGCAAGTGGGATAGAATGTGTTTTATTTTTTTGGCTTTTTTTCCATCAAAGCAGATGTAGAAGTGAGAGAATCACTGTCAGGAAAACAAACCAGAAATGAACAGGCTGTAGTATGTTACATTGGGACCCCAGATCTCCATCCTGAATTTTGTATTTGCCTCCCTGCTTCCTAGAAGGTGGAGTTCACTTCCTCTCCCATTGGCTTTGAGCTTTGCCATGCATTTTGCTTTGGCCAAGGCGATGGTGGCAGATGTGAGCAGAGCAGGTGCTGGAAACGTGCTTACGTGACCAGACTTGTCCTCTTGTCCTTCTGGCATCATTATGAGAAAAACATGTCATGCAGTCTGGTGGTCCCAGGAGACTGAGAGATGTGTGGAGAAGAACTGAACGCCATCTGGAGCCTGGAGCCAAGTTCTGTGGACCTTCTGAGCCCAGCTGACCCACAGCCTGAAGCAGAGCCTCATCAGCTGACCCAAGCATCAGGGCTGCTGAGAATAAATGCTTCGTGTTGTACATCGCTGGCTAACTGAGTCAGAGCCCTTCAAAAGCACCAGTCCCAGCCGTAGGAAGTGTGGCAGACACGCCTTATGAATATGGACAAGTCCTGTTCTGACTCTTCTTAAGCAAAGTCTTTGGAGCCTGCGAATCTGCTAAGCTTCACCATAGCTTCAGTTTATGTCCTTTAGATAAATGCTGTGAATGCAAGATAAAAAAGGGGAAAAAAAGAGTTGGTAGCTCTCCAGGTCTTTTGGGGCTGTGAAGGTCTCAAACAATGCACCTGCGAATTTATGGTTACCGGGGGGGAGGGGGAGGGGGTGGTAGAGTGGGAGGTTGGGATAGACATATACACACTATTATATTTGAAATATATAACCAACAAGGACCTACTGCATACCACAGGGAACTCTGCTCAGTATTATGTAATAACCTAAGTGGGAAAAGAATTTGAAAAAGAATAGGTAGTTGAATATGTATGACTGAATCATTTTGTGGTATGTCTGAAACAAGCACAAAATTATTCATCAACGATGTGTGTGTGTGTGTGTGTGTGTGTGTGTGTGTGTGTGTTAGTCGCTTAGTCGTGTCCAACTCTTTGCAACCCCATGGACTGTAGCCCACCAGTCTCCTCTGTCCATGGGATTCTCTGGGCAAGAATACTGGAGTGGGTTGCCATTTCCTTCTCCAGGGGATCTTCCCAGCCCAGGGATCGAACCTGGCTTTCCTGCTTTTACAGGCAGATTCTTTATTGCCTGAGCCACCAGGGAAGCCCAATACTCCAGTATAAAATAAGAATTTTTAAAAAATGACAGCAAAACAATGCACCTACCTAAAATATTCTGTTCCTTCCCAGCAACATCTTCATTTGGGGCAATAGATTATGGTGCTTGAAAGGCAGGGCCTGGAATTTAGACAATGCTGAGAGTGAATTCTGTATCTGCCACTTACTCTCTCTTGGTGTTAGATGTTTCACTGAATCTCCCTAAGCCTCGGTTTTGTTATTTGTTAAATAGGGCAATGATACCCATCTACTGGACTTGGGGAGGAGGGAAGATTGAATTAAATAATACATAAAAGCCCCCAGAACCATGCCTCATACAGCAGGGGCACTCTGGTTCTCAGTCTGGAGAATAAGAAGAACATCTATGCATTTTAAAAAATATTTATTTATTTGGCTGCACCAGGTCTTAGTTGCAGCACACGGGATCTTCTGTCTTCACTGCAGCAGGTGAGCTCTTAGTTGCAGCATGTGGGATCTAGGTCCCTGACCAGGGATTGAACCCAGGCCCCCTGCATTGGGGGTACACAGTCTTAGCCACCGAACCATCAGGAAAGTCTCAGGAAAGTCTGTGCTTTGGAAACAAGTTTGATGAGGAAGTAAACTACCACAGACACTTCAGTCTCCTGTATGAGTCTCTTTTCTTTCAACATCTCATGAAAGATCTTTGTTCAACATTACTGAATAAATACTGAGATACAAAAGAGCTGGAACAATACCATGAGCCACACACCCCTCCCCCAAGCTCTATACAGGGACATGCAGTATACACATGGAAGAAGATCCAGATATTAGTATTTTTAATACAGGGACCTAAGAAACAAAACTCTGGAAAGCATCGAGCATTAGCAAGAAGCTTGAATAAATGACACAGCAAAACCCAGGGCTTGTTCCAATGGGACAGTCCTTTCTGAAATGGGAGTTTGTGCATTGATTTCCATCATCTACTTTCAAGATTGTGTGGGAAGGACTTTCCTGGTGGTCCAGCAGCTAAGGCTCTCTGCTCCCAATGCGGGGGGCCTAGGTTAAATCCCTGGTCAGGGAACCAGATCCTGTGTGCTACAACTAAAATCTGGCAAAGCTGAATAAATAAACAAATATTAAAAAAAAAAAAAAAGACTGTGTGGACTTAATAATGGCCACAAGATATCCATGTTCTTGATTCTGGAACCTGGGAATGTCCACTTCTGTGACAAAAGGGGCTCTACAAGTGTTGTTAAGGAAGTGACATGAGCGGGTTGCCCTGTTCATCAGTATGGATGTGATCACAAATGTCCTGATAGAAGACAGCAGCAGAATTTGGCTACAGGAGGACTCGGATGTGGGGATTTTTCCAAAGGAGGCTGGAGGGGAATGACAGTTTGGAGTGGTGTTGGAACGGGGCCACGAGCCATGGAATGGTGGCTGCCTCTAATGTTTGAAACAGTAAGCAGACAAGTTCTCCCCTGGAGCCTCCAGAAGGAACATGCCCTGTGGACACCTTGCTTTTATACTTCTGACGTGCAGAAGTGAAAGAGAATCTGTTTGCCTTGTTCTGAGCTGCCAGGCTTGTGGCAGCAACAGGAGAGTAATACAAGGACCTTAACAGGTATGTGTATGTGCGTAAGCTCTTAAGTGGCACTTCCTAGGTGGTACCAGTGGTAAAGAATCCGCCTGCCAATGCAGGAGATGCAGGTTCAATTCCCGGGCCGGGAAGATCCCCTGGCGGAGGAAATGGCAACCCTCTCTAGTATTCTTGTCTGAAACGTTCCATGAACAGAGGAGCCTGGTGGGCTGTAGTCCATGGGGCCACAAGGAGTCAGACTCAACTGAGCGAGGTCTTAAGTTGGGCAGGTGCCCCAGGGTTATCTGTAGCACTCTTCTTCCATTCATAGCCCTGGCTGCCAACAACACTGAATGTCTTTTTTACTTGAATGAATCAATGGCATTCCCTTTTTTCTTTCCCTCCTTAAAATTAATTTATTTAGTTTGGCTGTGGTGGGTCAGTGTTGCTGCACGTGAGCTTTGTCTAGTTGCAGCGAGGGGGACTCCTCTCTAGTTATGCACGGGCTTCTTAATGCAGTGGCTTGTCTTGTTGCAGAGCACGGGCTCTAGGGCATATGGGCTTCAGTAGTCGCGGTGCACAGGCTTAGCTGCTCGGTTCGGCATGTGGCATCTTCCTGGACCAGGGACCGAACTGGGGTCCCTTGCATTGCAAGGCAGATTCTTAACCACTGGACTATCAGGGAAGTCCCACATTCCCACTTTTATGCCTCTCAGAATTCTCTCCTTTTACAGGATAACTGTCTGGCAAGGTGCCTTGCTCTGTGGGTTAATAGTTTCTCTGAGCATTGATTGGCCTTGGGAGTATTGGACTCACACCGCACATGCCTGCATCTTTATTAAGTAGCTGCTCAAGTATTCACCATCGCCTCTGAGATTAGCTGGCTCCCCCATATGTCTTGAAAGGCCCATTAAAGCAGTCATTATTCTATGAATCTTCTTTGTGCCCAAACTCCAAATGTGCAGAGACTTGAAAAAAAGAAAAGGTGTGAGGTTTTATTTTTTTTTCTTCATTTTTGCACTCTTTTTTTTTGTCAACCATTAAAGAGCTCAAACTGTCTTTGTGTGTTTGACTAATTTCGGATTTTGAAAGCACAAGGAAAGTGCTTGAGGTCTGAAGCTTGCCTATGAAAATGATGGAGCACAACTGGAGAGCTGTCAAGACTGGGATGGTTCATTGAAGAAACCTGCTTAACTTTACAGCACCAAAAGTTTCATAGAGATGATGGCTTCCTCTTCTTTAGCACCACTGTGAGAACATCCTGAAGGACATCTGAGAAAGACGTAGTGAATGCTTCCATTTGTCTCAGCAGTAAATTAAATCTAGTGTCAATGAAGACGTGAAAATGATCTCTTATTTATAGTGTCTGCATGTTCCAAGAGTTTAAAAAAATGTCAGTTGTTCAGTAATTCCAGTTTGATGAGAGGTGGGGTGGGGGAAATTGAGAGGAGTTGTCACATATAACACATTTTCTGAGCTGCCCTAGCTTTCTCCAAGTTTTTCTTTATATAGTTTTGGACCAAAATGTGCTTTGGAGAGACATCAGTCCAGTGTTAAACTGTCAAAACTCTTTGTTGCGTGTGGCAGAAATCCAGTCAACTGGGTGAAACCAAAGAGAGATATCGGTTGACTTCCATAAGAAGCAGTCGGCATATAGATTTCAGGTATGGCTTGATCCAGGAGCTTAAGCAGTATCGTCAGGATACTTGTCTGTACCCACTAGAAGATTTAGCCAGGCCAGAATCACCCAGCATGGTCTTCAGAGAACAGGGAAAGAGAGCTGGACTAAAGAATTTGTATCAGTTATATATGTTGGTGCCATTTCAGATCTTCTCAGCTCTACCTCATGCAGGGGCATTGGGCCATTCTTTCCAGCTACTGTAGCGGCAAACCCCCTAGAGACTCTGGAGAGTCACACACACACACACACACACACACACACACACACATACACACAGCATCTGACTTTAGGCCTGTGCTGTCCTGCCCTAGAACTGTCTTGTTGTCTTGTTCATTCTGAAATGTATAAGATTTTGTGGTCAAGTATACCAGAAGCAAAGAAGAGTTAGCATCCTTCAGGACACAACTTTGACCAACAAAAGGTGGAAACGAGTGGATAAATCCCTCCCCAAATGGATGGATCTGAGAAGCATCCATGTGTCTGGTCCCAGAAGAAAGTCTGTGTTGCAACTTTGAGCAATTTGTCATGATTGATGTCAAACACTGACCAGCTGCAGTTGGTCATGAACAGCAGACTGCATGTTCATGCCAGTTTCCATCATTCCTGTTTCTCCCCACTTTTTCTGCACTCCTGCCCAGGGGCTAGCATACTCTCATGTTTCACAGCACATAACCTCTGCCTCAGGTTTTTTGAAAGAATACAGGTTGAGTGAGTATTTATGTTTCATTTGGAAGACATGGGTGCCTTTTCTTTCTCAGACACCTTAAAGTACCTTACACACCCAGGACATTATGGAACTTGTTGGGGGAGGTGTAGGGAACTTCAATAAGACAGAATTACAGGTTTTATTCAGAGTCACCTCAGCCATAGAAACAGTAGGATGGTTCGGAAGCTTCTGATACTTGTCCACTAATGAGGCTGCATGACTGTGAAAAGCATGAAGTCAAAGTACTTAACACAGAAAATTCTTTGATTCTGCCCAAATGACATCTTGTTGCTTCTAGAATGGAATGTAAAGGTGACTTAGAGGTGATCAGAGAGGTAACTCTGGTGTGGTGTACTTAGATTAAAATATCTGTTCTGTTGTCACAAATGGCAGAATTTCCTGCTTTTTTATGACTGAATACATATAGTGCATTTTCTTTATCCGTTCATCCATCAATGGACATTTAGGTTGCTTCCTACCTTGGCTGTTATGAATAAGGCTGCAGTAAACACAGGGGTGCAGATATCTCTTCCAGGACTGATTTCGTTGCCTTTGGATGTATACCCAGAAGTGGGATCATTGGAGAGAGGTGGTAGGTCTATTTTAAGTTAGGGAGTGGGGGGAAACTCCATTCTGTTTTTCATAATAGCTGTACCAACTTGCATTCCTTCCAAGGGTATGAGACTGTGAAATAAGCTGGACAGAGAAACACAAACACTCTTTGCTATCACTTATATGTGGAATCTAAAAGAAGGAATTTAAAAAAAGAAGAGTTGAACTCATAGAAACAGAGAGTAGAATGGTGGTTACCAGTATCTGGGGGTGGGGGATGGGAAGATGTTGACCCAAGGTCCAAACTTATAGTTATTAAGTGAACAAGTTCTGGGGGCAGTGTGGTGACTATAGTTAATAGTTATGCATTGTGCATTTGAAATATACTAAGAATAGATCTAAAGTATCCTTTTTTAGAAAGGATAACTGTGTGAGATGATAGATGTGTTAGCTTGACTGTGGTAATCATTTCACAATTATACATACATTAAATCATCATAGTCTGCACTTTAAATATAACTACAATTGTAGTTATATTCATTATACTTCAATAGAGCTGAAAACATTTTTAATATAAAAAATACTTGTACTGCCATTTTCCCTTTGGCAAACCAGTTATCCAATCTAAGCATCTCTCTACAACACCATTGGGAGGTTTAAATGGGATAATGCATTCAGATTCTCCCAACACATACAATGCAATCCAAAGGCTTTCTTGTTACCAAATCTAGACTTCTATGACAAGTTGTTTACTTACATTTACTATGGTATTAGTCAAGGTGATCCAGTGAAACAGAACCAGTAGTATATATACAGGCACACCTCAGAGATATTGTGCGTTTGGTTGCAGACCTCTGCAATAAAGCAAATATCACAATAAAGTGAATCACATGAATTTTATAGTTTCCCAGTGCTTACATAAGTTATATTTATACCATACTCTAGTCTACTGTGTACACAGCCTCATGTCTAAAATAATACTGAACGTACCTTAATTCAAAAATACTTTATTAATGAACATTGTGGGACTTCCCTGGTGACGCAGTGGTAAAGAATCCACGTGCCAATGCAGAAGACATGGGTTCAGTTCCCGGTCTGGGAAGATCCCAAATACTGCAGAACAACTCAGCACATGCACCACAACTAGTGAGCCTGTGCTCTCAAGCCCGGGAACTGCAACCATTGAAGCCCACACACCCTAGAGCCCAGCGCTCTGCAACAAGAAAAACCACAGCAATGAGAATATTGTTCACTGAAGCTACAAAGTAGCCCATGCTCACTGCATTAGAGAAAAGCCAGCGCAGTGCGGTCAAAAATAAATAAAATTCTAAAAACATTAACGGTCATCTGGATCTTCAGGAAGTCATAGTTACAACATCAAAGATCACTGACCACAAATAAATGTAACAAATATAATAACACTGCAAACGTTTGCGAGATTAACCAAAATGGGACCCAGTGACACAAAATGAGCAAGTGCTATTGGAAAAGGGGGGCATTGACAGACTTGCTGAATACAAGGTTGCTACAAACCTTGAATTTGTAAAAAAAAAAAAAAAGAAAAAAACCACACACAAAAAAAAACATAGTATCTGAAAACATAATAAAGCAAAGCAGAATGAAATGAGGTGTGCCTGCGTATACTTTTTTACTTTTAAACATATATGTGTATGTGTGTGTGTGTATATATATATATATATATATACACAGAGAGAATTATATATGTATATATACACATACATACAAAGAGACTTATTATAAAGAAAAATTATGGAGTCTGGCAAGTCTGAAATCTGCAGGGTAGACTAGCAGACTGAGGATATAGGCTGCCAGTGTTGCAGTCTGAGTCTAGAGGCTGTCTTCTGCTGCGCCAGGAAGAGCTGTTGTTGCAAATAAAGTCTGCAAGAGAATTCTGTCTCGCTCAGTAGAGGCCGTTCTTTTTGTTCCATTCAGGCCTTCCACTGACTGGATGAGACCCACCATGTTATGGAGAGCAGTCTGCTTTCATCGTCACTCTCATCCAAAAATACTCTCACAGAAACACTCAGGATAATGTTTAACCAACTATCTGGGGACCCCAAAGCCCAGTCAAGCTGATCCATAAAATTAACCATCACAGCAGTGAAGTTTTTTTGGTTTTGTTTTTCAAAAAACCCATCAAACTGAAGAAAAGAGTAAACAGTCATGAGAGATTGCAACAAAATGTTGAAAAGTGGAAAGGTGACTGTCAGGTGGTAACTGAATTAGCAGACTAGAGATAGCCAACCACCTGCAGTAGGGTGGGGGGATATATTAAGAAAGAGAGGCAGGGTGGAGAGAGAGAATGAATAAAATTGCTTAGGACTTGGACGTCCAGGCATCTCAGAAATCAGTGTGAGGTGCTTTGTTTTCTGCGTAAGAAATGCTCGGCTCTCCCAGAATCCCTCCTGTTGTCCTTGCTCATGTCAACTGTCCACCAAGCCCCCATGGTGAGAATGAAGGTTGGCTGTCTGGACAGGGTTAGTGAGAAAAACTCTGGCCCTATGCCTCCCCGTGATGCCTTCACTGCTTGAGCCCCAAGTCCCTAACACATGGCAGGCAATTGATGAGTTTTATGATAAGCTTGATTGCATTGTTTCACTTCATAAAATATTTCCTCTAATGACTTTTGTTGTGCAGATTAGGAACTAGACATAAAGATCTGCCAGCTGTTGATTTCCCCATATATATAATTTGTATTTGAGGTGTTAAAAATCTTACAGTGTGTTCTGAATCATGGTAGAAGCATTGAATTTGAGTCCATATCACTCACTGTATTCTGATTACATAAATGTTCATGATCCATCCATGGAAATAGTGTCCTGAGCCATAAATGTCAAGATGCAAGATCAGTATTTTTTATTGCTTTTCAATAAGTCAATTTTTTCTTTCAAGTTTCCAAGTTTCTTCTAGGCTAGTTATCAGAAATCTAATCTCATCCACCTCCCCTTTTCTTCTTGGGTTTTTTACTTAGCGGGAAGTCCCAGAATATATATTCCAAAGTGTCTGGAGATGAGGACATCTGAATGCATAGAACATGTTCTTGCAAGCATCTTCTGAGATGCCAACTCTCCCATCTGGCTTTTACACATTGGTCCATGAAAGTCTCCATGCAAGCAGTCCACTAGGAGAAGCTTTTTACCCTCATCTGTATAGTGAAGCATCTTTTCAGGTCCAGAAGCTCCCCTGACTACTTCCAAGCCATCCTGGGCACCCAAGAATAATTCTGCTGCTTCTCTACAACCCAGGGCATGGCACATGTCCAGGATACTCTGTCAGCCTAGTGAAACCTCAAGAAAATCTTATCTTTGGAGACTCTTCACATTCCTGGGAACTGCCCCGGGAAGCAAGAAATGGAGCCACTTCACTGCTCTCACACTCATCTCTCCTTAGCTTGAAGTCTAAGACTCGGTGTGAAGCCCACCCCACTTCGCCACTGACTGTCTTCCCCTCTTCTTGGCTAGAGGAAGCAAATTCAGGAAATTAAAGGATACTTGCCGTTACTCACTGAGTATTCCTTCAAACCTTAACATTGGCTGTATCTTTTTTTTTTCATTCCAGTGTAGACTTTTGGAAATCAGAAGCCAGGAAAAAATTTTCTCTCTTTATTTTGCTTTCTTCTCTACATTTTCTTTTTTTTTTTTTTCTTTTTCTTTTTTTTATTGGTTGGAGGCTAATTACTTTACAATATTGTAGTGGGTTTTGTCATACATTGACATGAATCAGCCATGGATTTACCTGTGTTCCTCATCCCGATCCCCCCTCCCACCGCCCTCTCCACCCGATCCCGCTCTTCCACACAATGCCATAGTTAATCGTGTGTATGTCTGTGCATGCCTGTGTAAGCGCTAAGTTGCTTCAGTTATGTCAGACTCTGTAGCCTGCCAGGCTCCTCTGTCCATGGGCTCTCTGGGCAAGAATACTGGAGTGGATTGCCATGCCCTCCTCCAGTGGATCTTCCTGACCCAGAAATCAAACCCACATCTCTTATATCTCTTGCATTGGCGAGTGGATTCTTTACCACTAGCGCCACAGGAAGTCCGTGTGTGTCTCTATTATTCATAATTATACATTATTAAAAAATAACGTCTTGACGGTGAGAAACCAAGATGGCGGCGGCGGCACTAACGGCCGTGGCGGTTGGGAGGTAACTGTGGGGGTGAAGGCTGCGGTAGCTGGGAGGCAGCGGCAGAGTTTGGAACGAACGGAGCGGGGCAAAGAGGCGATAGAGCAGCGTCAGCCTGAACCTCTCAGATCGCGGCAGCTACACATCCCCTGGGCCCTCGGCGGGCGGCGGCCGCCCCGCTTAGGGCCTAGTCTCCGGGCAGTGCCTCGGCTTCGTACAGCGGCGTCCGCCATGAGTCCTCAAGGGTGGTCCGAGCCCTCCAGTCCTAGGGCGCACCATGGAGCCGGGGTCTGACGACTTCCTACCGCCGCCGGAGTGCCCGGTGTTCGAGCCTAGCTGGGCTATCTGCAAGGACCGTCGATGGGCTCGGGTGGCCCAGCGCCTCAACTACCCACCAGGCAAAAACATTGGCTCCCTGCTGCGCTCCCACTATGAACGCATCGTTTACCCCTATGAGATGTACCAGTCTGGAGCCAACCTGGTGGTAAGGATGCCAAGCCAAGGTGGGAGTAGGCTTTCCTCTGCCAGATGCAGATTTCCACACTTGTTCTTAATGGAACTGGTTCAGTGGAGTGGACTGGACACCTGGAGAGGTCTGGAAAGAGATGAAGTCTGGTTGTTGGGGAGATTTTTGGAAGGTATAAGTAAAAGCATGTATAAGATGTTAGGATGGTATAAGCAAAAGCATGAGAAGAATTCCCGGAGTGTGTGCTGGTGTCAGTGGTAAAGACCAGTTAGGCAGGGCCTGTTGGCAGGGGAGGGGGGATGAAACCACAACTTTAGTTGCCATTGTGGGGAGGGTAGAGGGAAGTCCTTGCTGTAGGGGGCTGGGACCCCATGCCCTGACCCTTACCCTTCACCTATCCCTAGCAGTGCAACACACGTCCATTTGATAATGAGGAGAAAGACAAGGAATATAAACCTCACAGTATCCCCCTTCGACAGTCTGTGCAGCCCTCCAAGTNGTAGGGGGCTGGGACCCCATGCCCTGACCCTTACCCTTCACCTATCCCTAGCAGTGCAACACACGTCCATTTGATAATGAGGAGAAAGACAAGGAATATAAACCTCACAGTATCCCCCTTCGACAGTCTGTGCAGCCCTCCAAGTTCAACAGCTATGGTCGGCGAGCCAAGAGACTGCAGCCTGATGTGAGTGCTTCCCTACTTCTAACAGAGCTTTGGGGGTGAAGAGAGTCCTCTCCCTCTGACCAAGACTCTCTTCCCTGTTCCACTCTCCCTTCTCTCAGTTCTCTGAGTTCTGAAGAATAGTGTGCCTCTTTCTGGCTTCACTCTTGCTTTTCCTCTACTCTCAACTGAGCTTCTGAGCTGGGTTTTGATCTCTTCACATAATATCTTCCCTGTGTCTGCTATTCTTGCCTGCCTTGTTCCTTTCCTGACTCTGCTTATAGGGGAAAAACTCTCTTTCTCCTTACACCTATATTCTGGCCTCAGAAAGAAGCTTATGTGCCAGCATTCTTCTGGGTACTGGGGCTACAGCAGAAAAGAAGATGGACACTGTCCCTGGGCTCACCAAAGCATGTAATTTACCAGATCATGTTAGTCTCTGCCATTTATTGGTAGTGTCAGATACTTAGATTTCTTTATATATATCTTTCTCAAGCTCCTTGTAACTGTGAGATAGGAGTTAATATTCTCATTTTACAGTTGGAAAAACTGAGATCCATCTTAATTCCATTCCAGGAGAGGAATGAAGAGGGAGCTCACTTACCCTTAGTCTCCAAAAAGCAGTCTAAATTCTTGCCTTGGCCCACCTGTGCTTCAGGCCTGACATGAACTCATGTGATATAGCCCAGGCTGTTCTTTTAGGATGGGGCAACCTGCAATCTTGATTCATTTCCTTCTTTCCTCCTAGCCGGAACCCACAGAGGAAGACATTGAAAAGAATCCTGAGCTAAAGAAGCTTCAGATCTATGGGGCAGGCCCCAAGATGATGGGCCTAGGCCTCATGGCCAAGGATAAGACTCTGCGGAAGAAAGCTAAGGAAGGGCCCGAGTGTTCCCCTACTGTAGTGGTGAAGGAGGAGTCAGGCGGGGACATGAAGGTGGAGTCAACCTCACCCAAGACCTTCCTGGAGAGCAAGGAGGAGCTGAGTCACAGCCCAGAGCCCTGCACCAAGATGACCATGAGGCTCAGGAGGAACCACAGCAATGCCCAGTTTGTAAGGACCCAGCCCTGACTTCCTAATGCTCTGCTTCTCATCCCTTCAACGAGCATTTCCCCAGCATGGCACTGGACCAGGTTGCATTAAACAGAAAAGTGGGCCTGGTGGGCCCTGCCCTCAAGTAGCTCACTTAATTGGGGAAACAAGGCCAGCTTACATGGAACAAAGAACAGGAAAGGGTGATCAAGTGCTGTCAACATGAAGTGCTGGAAGGGTGCAGAGAAGGAGACTTCCTCTCCATTGCTTCAGGATAAAGGCTAGGTTCCTTATTACCGTGCATGATCCAGTCCCAGCAGACCTCTAGCCTCATTCCCCAGCACTGCCCACCTTACTTCTCTGCTATAGCCACCCTGAACTACTTGTAGGTATGTTTGTTTTTCCCCTGAGATGTGCCATGCTTTCTTGCCCCATCCTTTGCACATACTGTTTCTTCTGCCTAGAAGTTTCCCCCTGTTCTCTGCGCCATTGCCAAATCTCAGTTTGCCTTCAGATTTCAGTTAGTTTCAAGTGTCACCTTTTCAGTGAAGTTCTTCCTCAAGGCTGTTCCTCATCTCCAGCTGATTTGTGTGCTTCCTCCTCTAGATTTCCATAGTACCCTTTTATGGGGAGCTATTGGCAGTTTCTACACTGCCTTTTAATTTTTATGAACTTGTGCTTCTGGACTGTTGTATGCCTTTAGAAGGAGGATACCATGTCTTATTTATCACTGTACCATAGAGTCTGGCATAATGTTGAACACAAGTGTTCAGTAAATGTTTATTGAATGAGTGAAAATGGAGAATTCAGCACTGAATGATAGACTGCTCTCACAGCTCTACCAGTTAGTTTATTTGGGGAGATTATTGCTTGCAGTTTTAACTCCTGAGCAAGCATGACTAACCTGTACAAGGCCATGAATGATCCAGCCATCAAGCACAGTGGGTTTCTAACAGAGATCTCTGTGGACTAGGATACTGTCTGGAGGAGTCTTAAGTTTGAAAGGTTGGACAGGGCTTGGGTTGATGAACTGTTGCCTCCCTCCCCTGGCAGATTGAGTCATATGTGTGCCGAATGTGTTCCCGAGGGGATGAAGATGACAAGCTCCTGCTGTGTGATGGCTGTGATGACAACTACCACATCTTCTGNTGACAAGCTCCTGCTGTGTGATGGCTGTGATGACAACTACCACATCTTCTGCTTGTTGCCTCCTTTGCCTGAGATTCCCAAGGGTGTCTGGCGGTGTCCAAAGTGTGTCATGGCGGTAAGGACTTCCCAGCCCCAATCTGTGTCTGCCTCATAGGCTGTCCTTGCCTTCCTTCATCTGGTCTTATTGAAAGCAGCCTCCTAGCTCAGCCACAGTCTTATGTTTTGGGTCCCTGAGGTTGGGCTAGGTTGGGCAGAGCTTTGGGAGAAAGAAGAGGAGGACATTCAGCCTGTGTTCTCTGGAAGCTCTCAGACCACCTGGGGAGGTGAGATTTATAATTAGATTGTACATGATGACATATAACCAAATGTTAAATTGTGTGTTAGAAATTCAGATGTAGAAGTTCAGAGGAGAGGAAAGTGACTAAGAGTAGTAATCAAGGAAGGTGTCAGCAATGAGATTTGGAGGACAGGAATATGAAGAAAAAAATGTTCTTTCAATTTCCAAGTTTTTTATTTTTTCTTTTTGAAAGCTTGGAAAATAGACAAATTATCTATCTCACCACCTAGAGATAACCACTGTTAATAGCCTGGTGTATTTTCTTCTCATCTTTTCGTTGTTGTGTATATATAACTGTCTTTAACAGGTTTGGGATCATACTGTGTATTTTCATTTGTTACTTTATAATCATTTTTCTATATTATATTTATTCATGGTATGATTTCTTTTCTTGTAAGGGGTTCATCATGTGGGTATAATATTTATTAATTATTTTCCTTCTGTTGTGATAATTAAATTGGTTTGCACTGTTGTAGACTTCAATTACAAGCGTTGGGCAGACTTTCTAGACTGGGGGATAGAGGAGTTCAGGAATAAGGATGTGTGGGGATAACGTACCTAGTGCAAGAGAGGCAGTGAGAACACCTGAAGCAGCAGTGAGGGCTAAGAGGCCTGGTAAGTCTGCCAGTTTCATTTCATGAGCCTTTTACCTTGATCCAAATTCTGGGTTGCTTGTCTACATCTTTCCCTGGGTTTCTGGGAGAGTAGATGTTGATAGTCTCTTGCCCTGTCAACTGTGGTCATAGAGTCCAGGTATGCATGTGCATGCGGACACACATACACACACACGAGGAAAGAGACCAGGGCAGTGTAATGCCTTGGTAGTGGTGGGGATTCCTTTAGGGGGGAGTTTGAATACCAACAGTATCATAGACAACAAAGATTGTCAGGTCTACTTAGCTCTCTTCTTTAAGTGGTCTTGGGCTGGTGAACCAGGTTGACATTTAGATTTCAGACATGAGCAGAAGGTGTGTCTGACTCAGGGGTACATCCAACTCTCATCTAAAACCATGAACATAAGTACAAAATGAGTTAGACATATGTCCTGTCTTCTGAGACAGTCTAAAGAACAGAAATAGTGTGGAGTTTGACACTAAGGGTTGGTGCCTTTGTTTTCCATCCTCTGAGCTACTGGAATATTCACTGTTGTTTTCCCAGGCCTATAGTTCCAGTCTCGGCATAAAAAAGTTTCTCTAAGCATCCTGTATAAACCCACATTTTGTCTTGAAAGAAAGATAGTGACAGAAAGAGCGTGGGGTAGCGTATTAAATCAGAGCCCATGGTTTAGATAGTCAAGTCCTGAAGGAAGAGAAGATAAAAGCATGGTAGAAGTGCATGTGAGGAATGATGAGACTAACTGCACTGAAGTGCTAGGAGAAAAAGATAGAGCTATGATGTGAGACCTGCCTCAGGGGCCTTCAGTAAAAACCTAGGCCCGATTCCTACCCCATATTCCAGCTCAACTTTG